GTAAAATGCACATTACAAATAACAAATATTATTATTACTACCATTTTATTTGATAATTTTTTTCCCAGTCCAATGCTTCAAGAACATTTGGAACACCAACAAACTTATGCATGTTCCACTGTGCAATATAATCATAAAGGGTTGCCAAATTGTGCTAACCAGAAGCTAACCAGACCTGGTGAGCTTGTTCAGGCTCAAACTGGAATACTAGTTTCACTAAATAGCACTGCAAACTTTCAACGTTTTCCACAAACATTTCTCCTGGGAAGCCCTTGTGCACAATACAGCGAAAATTCACAGGAAGGGAGGTCAATATTGTCAAGCCCTAAGTGTCAGATGTTTACACCAGCAACATGGGGGGAGTTGATTGAGCTGATCAACTTCATTCATATTATTATATCAGGTGGCAGTCTAACAAGTGGTTCAAGTGTATATTTTGGTTGTCATTTAATTTAGCTGTCTGAAATGCCTATGTCTTAGAGTCCAAAAGCCACACAAAACGCCCACAAGATGCCTTCAGCCTCGAATTAGGCAAGCAACTAATCAGAAATTTCAACTTATAAAGGCAACCTGCAAACAGTGCTCCACCACTTGTTCTTGCTCCAGAGGACCACAGAAGCACAAAATAGACAGCCACAAGAAGCAGTGTGTTGACTGCAAAGCAAAAGGCAAGAAAATGGCCAAGGGTTACCCAGTTGAGATGAAGTTCAAGTGCATTAAGTGTGTCAAGATTCATGCTTTAGGGATTATCATGTCAACATGTAAATGTTACTTGCCCACATCTTTTGTGGCATTTTTAATGATCACAATGATCAGTTTGTGCTAACAGAACTTTAAGTCACCCTCATATATATTATTGCTAACTATTTTCAAAGTATTTCCCAGTGTATATTGAGCTCACCAGGATATTTTGCATTTTAATATAAGATGCTTTAAAGTAACAAAACACGCGCAATGGCGGAAAATTTTAATTTTAGCAAAGACACATTTTCACTGAAACTTAACTTCTTTCCTTGGTATGACTTCGAATTTAACTACAGCTATACTTTAGCATTAATTTTGTGAAATTAGCAGACTCTGTTAAACGCTCATAACCCACTGAGCATATGTTTTGATTTCCACTCACTAATTGGGAACAACTCTCCAATTACCTCTAAGAACAACAGAGAAATGAGCCAGAGGGTAAGTGGTATACAAAGGGTTAAATCAAAACGAGACATGTTGAAGATTTGGATGCTTTCAAGAAGAGAAAAAATGAACCTACTTCTATAGTGAATAAAGCAATACGTGAGTTTTACATGCGATTCATGGTAGAAAACAGCAAGGATCAAGAAAAGCTCTTTAGGGCAGCAAAGAAACTTCTTACAACAGAGAATAAACTGTCATTCCTTGATCATGTGGATAAAGACAAACTCACAAATGAAATTGCTGAGTTTTTGTGACAAAGGTTGATGAAATTCCTCGATGCAATGGAAATACATGTGAATGAGACACATGGTAACATTTCATTGGGCTTTGAGCAAAGGCCAGAGTCATTTCATCCTTTAACCAAAGGTGTTGTTTGTGCTTTAATCCAGAAGTCAGCAAAAAAGTCATGCATGCTGGATCCTATGCCCACTTCATTAGTCACCAAATGTTTAGATGTTTTTCTTTCGGTAATCACTAACAATGATTACCAAAAGAAAAAACCATAGCACAGAGATAGTGTTTGGTAAAGTGTCTAATGATATCTGCATCAACATCAATCATTAAAATGTGACACTGCTGGTACTTCTTGATTTGAGTGCTGCATTTGACACTGTAGACCATGAAATTTTGTTGAACCTGCTTTAATCAATGTTGGGCATCACTGGTAGTACCCTTATGTGGCTAAATTCATATCTGTCTGAGCATTCTTCACTTGTGTTTATTGATGGAGGGCTCTCTGATAGCATTCACTTACCCTTCAGAGTCCCACAAGGTAGTGTCTGAGGCCGCTATTGTTCATCACGTATGCCAGGAAGCTGTTTGAAGTGATCAAAGATCATTTGCCATCAGTGCATGCATATGCTGATGATACTCAACTGTGTCTATGTTTTAAACCTGATGGTTTTTTAAACGAAATAAGGTGCTATGAAAACAATGGAGAGATGTATTAACCACATCGGGATTGAATAAAACTGAATTTGTGGTTATTGGAACACAACATCAGCTAGGTAAATTGAGTATTGGTTAATTGTCAGTTGGTTTGAATCGTATGCTAAGTATTGGTAAGCATGTGTTGGCTTCCTTTATACGCTGGTGGTAAGGCATCAATTTGGTTCTCTTGCACCTGCAGTGTCGAGAAGGGTGAGTTTGCTGTAGTTTACTGTCTCCATAGTGAAGCAAATGGAAGGCTATTGGTAGTTTAAATGCTGTAGGAAGCTTTCTATATTATCATGTGCTATCGGGTGTCACCTATGTAATGTTTCAGATCCTAGGTTTTTTACTGATGATGTTATAGCTTGTTCTTTAAAACTCACAATTCTAAATCAAAGGACTCAGTGATCTCGCTTTCTTGAATCATTTTGCCACTTAAGGTAGAAAAAATTGGGCAGAGTTGAACTCCATAAAATCCAAGTCACCGGTTAGGGAACACAAGATGTTAGCTAAATAAGCTGACACATCATTGGCAAAGATGTTCATACATGAGAGCTTTGGTCTCGGAGGTATATTGGCTTTATGAATCTTTGATAAACCCTAGATTCTAGGAGACTGTTTATGTCATGGTTTGGTCTTGTTGTAGGTAGCCTCTGACAAATATCCACTTCGTTACAAGGTTAGCAGTTTCTTAGATAACCTCCTGGTCAGATGGTTTATTGGTTCTTTGTTCAAGCCCTGATATGGTCCACTTCAAATCAGGGAGGACATCTTGGTTTGCCAGGTGTTGGAGTCTAATCTTACACTAGCACATTCTTTGTCTGATGGTAGAACCTCATCGGACTGCTCCTCTTTCAGAGGTCTAAGTGTGTCCTGCATTTCCTTCACAAAGGTGGTTTTGCCAGTTGAAGGACCCCCTTCACAGATCTTCTGATGGAGTCTGCTTGTTTGGGATAGAGTGGTCTGAACACTGATTCCACCTTTTCGATAATCTATAAGGCAGGTATATTGTCAGGATACAGTGAAATTTTTGGCCTTCTTCAGTAAGGAAGTCTCAGAGCTGCTATGGAACCGAGAAAATAGATTAACAACTCAGTTGGTTTCATAAACATAGTGTGTTAGTTTGTGACAAAGCCGCCTCTTTCTACTGCAAAAGTTTCCCAAACTTTTGCTGTTGCCCTTCTTTGGCAGTGTTGAAGACTCATTGGCTGGTCTTGATCTGATCTAGGATCCTGTTAGCATCAAGTGGGGAGAGCTTAGATGATATCTTTTCAGCCATTGACTAAGTCTCTCCTATTAGGAAACGCAAATATAAATAGAAAACATCAACGAGAAATGAAAAGCATGTGAAGGACTGAAGTGTGGGAATTTTTGCCATTGAAGCCCTGTTAAGTGTTGTGCAATAATTGTAAGCTTCTTGGCAAGGCACAGAAACAAAATTGTGTGCGAGAATTTGTGGAAGACTGCATGTTAATTGCATGGGTTGAAATGTGCCAAATTGTCCAGTCAGTCAGTAAGTCACTCAAGTTTATCTGTGATTTGTGACTGAAAAATCTAGTAGTTTGAATAAACCCTTGAGTGGTAAAGTTTGTTGTCTAGTCTTTCCTTTCACATAAAACCACATAGTAGCAGCAATGACAACAAAGAAATGTAATTTTGATTGCAGTCACCCCTACACAACAAGCATTGCAGTCTATGAGGTTTCACAAAGTTTTGCCTATGCAGTATTTAGAATTAAGTCAAGTGGAGAGATTGCAGAGAATTAGAAGTTGTAGAGAGAGATGAACAATAATTGTCATTTTGCAATTGGAGAAGGAAAGTCTCGAGTATCAGCTTGCCATGTTAAAGCATGCTTCAGCCCATTTCCCAGGAACGTTTTGCACAAATTACCTTGATTTGACAAACGTTTTGAAAGAAAAAGACAGCAATTTAGCTAGTTTTGTAGGAAAATGATGGATGTATGTTGCTCATGCAAGATATTTGTTAATTGGCAACTTTCTTGTGTGGTCCATTACAATGTTGCATGTAGAGCTGGACAGACAGCTATCGTCTTCTTGGATAAATCTGCAAACAATCGCTTGTAGTTGTTTTCACAGAAGTGTGGACATCTCTAAAAAATTTTTCCATAATTTTCAGAGTTTGCTTGCCACAGTATGTAGCAATCAGTAAAGAGAGACCAAAAACTTACCACAGAAAGGAGATATGGTGCATCTGATTGTTGTTTTTCTTAGAAATGATGGCAAGTTGTACAACTCATTTGGACTTGCTAAGAGAGAAATATAGAAGATGGTTTGGTATTTGTTTGACCACAAAAGATATCTTCAGTTTCTCTTTTAACAACAATGCACTTGAGAAATGCACCTGTGGCAAAGCTTTAGAAGTCACCTTCGTAGGTGAAGATGATGTTGTCAGTGAGCAAATTCTGTCTCTCTCAGAATCTGCTTCCAAACGGAAAATGCAGCTAAACAACAACAAGAGCTCCTTGGATGAAAGTATTGAAGATGATCTGGTGCCTGCGTAAGGATATAGACTTGTCTCAATGGACAGTCTTCTTAAATTTGTGAAGAGAATTCTTTAGGTAAGAATTATGTGAGTTAAATTAAAAGACCTATGAACGATGATATAAAAGCTGTTTTTCTGGATCAATACTGGGCCAAAATTACAACAGTTATATCCCTTTATTAATAAAAGCGTTGACTGTCTTTATTGATCTACTGGGCCAAATACAAATATTGGAGAATTCCTGTAACCGGTTTGGACTTGGTAGCTCACTTTATGCCAAGTGTAGTGGTTGTGGCATGTCTGAGTTTCTTGCAACTGGTAGCCACCCTCAAGATGACGTTAATCCTTAAACTCTTCAAGGAAAAGATGTGAACAGAAGAATGGTGTTTGCTGCATACAAGAGTGGGCTTGGAAAAGAAGGAGTTGCCAAATTTAGTGAGGTCTTCAATATGCCTTTTAATAAGTCACCTGACACCTAGTACAGCCATGAAGAGACCCTCAGTCAAGCCTTCCAAGAAGAAACAAGCGAACAGCTACAAAAGAACTAGGCGGGCACAGTTGGAAGGAAGTAAGACAACGTGATAGTGGAAGAATTCAGCAAGCAGAGCACAGAGCTCCACAAAAAGACAAACAATATAGACTTGCCCAAAGACAAGCTAAGCAGAGAGAAGAAGACTTGTGTGTAACCCAGGAAGCCATAACCTACAAAGCTAGAGGTTTTGTCAAAACAGCTGTGCAGAGTGGGTAAAAAGAGAAAGAACAAAAGAACCTAAGCATACCTTCAAGTAGATGTGCTGTGATGCATAAAAGGCCATTTTAGGAAGTCATTAGTCTTACAAGTGAGTTAGATAAAAAGGAAGTTTAAATTACATTTTTCTGAAAATAGCTCTTTTCGGGGTAATTTTGTTGGCCCCTCATATTTCTTAAAGAGTGTTTCCGCTATTGACAACAAGTTTGGTACAAAGATTGTTTATGTAATTATTTGCAACCTGATTGAGCAAAATCTGAAATATGACTGTTTTTATAAGTAATTTGTCTTTAGCAAAATCTAATTATTACCATGACAACCAAAATGGTCAAAAGGCAGTAACTCTCAATAAGGTTGCAATCCATTGGATAATGCTTTGTTGTATCAAAAATCAGGTGATTATTTTAAAAGGAAATAAGAAAAAAGTGATGAGCCTCAACTTAACCCTCAAAATAGCCCTTCACAGTAATGCATTAATTATTAATCTAAAATAACCAATATATTAACTATAAACATGTCAGGTGGTAGGCAATTGCCTGGATGTACTTCTTACCAAGTTTGAGCTGATTTGATTGAATTGTGGATTAAATATGATTGTTTTACATAAGCTACCAAAATCTTACCATGAACTAACTGTAACGCCCGTCGTAACAAGGGAAGTCTGGACACTAGAGACAAATACTGGACTAATCAAGACTGTATTGTACACAAATAAATAATAAATTCGTTATCATTGTCATTGAAAAAAGCTAAAACTATATTATTTCAAAAAAAATAAGAAAAAACTATATCATTTTCTTGAGACAACTATATATTTAGACTTTATTCACTGAAGGTTCTCAGTTCAATTTATGACCCATAAAAGCCAGTTTACTCACTGTGAAAGCAATGGTCTTGTGTATATGCCACACCCACAATTTTAGGCCTAAAACTTAAGCAAAAAGGTGCTGCTTATACACAAGTCTTTACAGTGTTGTAAGTTTCAAATATGTTGTGGTGACTTGTATTAGGCAAGATTTCTAGTTTGTGGCATTTTGCATGTTTTTGTGAATTTCACAGGATTTACCTGAAATTCATGGCTCCCTGACCACACAAAAACATCAAAAACTCTGTATCAGTAACCTTCTTAATGAGTAGTATCTAGCCAGAAACGAAATTTGTCTTATTACTCAAATAACCCCACTCTATCATAATAAACCATGAAAAATGACTTTTTCATGCATTTCATTGTGGAAACTATCCAAAGAATTTATCAAATGAACATGACTGATTAATATTTGGTACCCCCCCTTAAAAACAGTGGCAAAATCACTTGTTTATTTATTTACCTTCAATGCTGCTCCTTTTAGAGTGCTCTCATGATTAACTGATGATAGCTTTTCCTTGACTTAAATATTGAAAAACAGCTGGGTGAAAAAATGATGGTGAAGGTCCACTCTGCAGAATTGACACAACCTTCAGCTCAGCAGCCGAGCAGCAATCCTTTTGATTAAATATCACCAGAGGATCAGTTGGTCTATCCATAGAGAAAAAAGCTCCTTCAACATGATCCAGAATTTCTGTAAAGGAAACACAAAACACTCTGGGATATTGTCGTCACATTGTCTACGGAGCTCATCAAGTTGTGGTGTGAAAAGATTTAATGGTATAAGGTTAAGTCTATTTATATCATAAAAAGATAAAAATCAAACTGATTAAAAAGTGTTCTGCCAAGGAAACATTTAACCTCTTCACAACCCTATGGCTTGATTAATTGCCACATCTGATTTTGGAAAAATCCCATTGACACATTCATGAAATGCTGTTCATCCACAAATTAGCCTACATGTGTTTTGTCTAAGAATGATCCCTCGATACTGTAAAGAGACCATTGCATACACAAACAGTACTGTTGAGGTATAGAGAAAATTTTTCATTCAAGATCTTTTTACAAATTCTCCTTAAACTTCAGCCATCTGACATCCTACACGTGTTTTGTACAGGAATTATCCCTAAATACTGCATCCTGGCACATCCAGTAACAGTAAGGTTCTGTATAGAGAAAATCTTTCACTCCAAGGAGATCTTTTTTTGCAAAATCTCCTTAACGGTCTCATAATCACTTAATTAAGGATACCAAAAGGCATACCTGTCAGGCAATCTCTCCTTGCTCCCCATTGCCTATTGTCAGTTTTCCAATGAATATAATTTTAACATAGTCATCTGCACCTCATAGCTGATTTTGTTGAGCCTGTTTAACATCTTTCCGTATGAGCCTCTCCTTGATGTTCATTCAGACTAGTTTTCTGAGACTCATGTTGTTAAGCAACCCATGGAGGATATCCTTGATACTTTCCTTGGTTTCACACTGAGTACCCTGTAGGGCTGGATCTATTATGCAAACTTCTCTCCCTTCATCCACACAATTTGAATTTTGTTCCTTTCCTTCATTTGAGACATTGCTTCCCCAAACATCGTAGCATGCATCTGCATGTTCTGCTTTTGTAATTACAGGAAAAGAGAGAAAGCTACATGTGAAACATTCCACATCATCATTGCTAGGGTTGGTCTCAACTGCATGTAATACTGGATCTTTACTTACAGGGTCTGTTGTGAACATTTCTTCCTCATCATTTTTCTCTGTTTTGTCATCACTTCAACCAGGCTGATCTTCTCTCTCATTGTCACTTTCATAAAATATTGGCAACTCAGAGAACAAAAAGTCATCACATCACATCAGTATGCTTAATCTCCATCCACACTGTTCTCTACACATTTCTTAAGGTACTAGCAAGAAGAATTTGTTCAACAATCAAGAACTTCCTTAGTTAGGGATCATTTCCTTTATTCTTGTGACCTTAATGTGTGATTCAGGTGTGATATTTTAGGGAGAAATTACATGAGATGCTGGTCACTTTTAGGGGTTAAAGGAACAGGATGTACCAGAAAGTGACAAGGCAAGTAAAAATGTACCATATGTTAGTTCACTGTATGTACATTTTCAATGCATGGGAAGAAATATTCAGTGCACTATAAATGTACCTTAACTCTAACTTGTTCACTCTTTGAATGTGTGCAACTGTTATAGTGGTATCCAGTCAAGTCGCCGACAGTTCAACTCGTCAATGCCAACTCACCAAAATCAAGTAGAGACATCAGTGAGCTGGTCTTTTAATACAGTACAACTTATTAGAAGTTAACCATATAGAAAAGTAAAAGATATTCAGTAAAAAAAAGTTTTTTTCTTCCAACAAAGTTTATAAGGATCTCAAGGCAAATAAAGCAAGGTGAATATCGCCAATGACTATAAAAGCTTCAGATGTGAACGAGCAATTGTGTGACAACAACACTGTAAAGACTCATGTCAATCAGTCAGATTTTTTGAAGAAAACTTAGCTTTCTAGGCAAGATCTTAAGTAAAAAACAATTCTGTCAATTTCCAACAAAGTTTATAAGGATCTCAAGGCAAATAAAGCAAGGTGAATATCGCCAATGATATAAAAGCTTCAGATGTGAACGAGTAATCGTGTGACAACAACACTGTAAAGACTCATCATGTCAATCAGTCAGATTTTTTTGAGGAAACTTGGCTTTCTAGACAAGATCTTTAGTAAAAAACAATTCTGTCAATTTCCAACAAAGTTTATAAGGATCTCAAGGCAAATAAAGCAAGGTGAATATCGCCAATGATATAAAAGCTTCAGATGTGAACGAGTAATCGTGTGACAACAACACTGTAAAGACTCATCATGTCAATCAGTCAGATTTTTTTGAGGAAACTTGGCTTTCTAGACAAGATCTTTAGTAAAAAACAATTCTCTTTAGTTCCCACAAAGTTTAAAAAGATCTCAAGGTGAATAAAACAAGGTAAACATCACCAATGACCAACAAAGCTTTAGACACAACCGAGTTATTGTGTCACAACCAGCATCATTCCAGATTCACACTTTGTTAGCTCACTTTTGAAGGTGTTTACATTTGGTCCATCTTAGTACCAGGCTATGCCAGTGAATGGCAAACACCTTCTAAACACTTATGTAATAAAAAGTTTTATTTGAAATTTATTTTCCTTACATAAGATATTTTCTTTACTTTACAATGTAAGATGTAACATTACAACAAGTTCAGTTGAGATTAAACAGACCTTCAAGAGCAGAATAACTGCATGATATACATAGCTTTCACATGTTCACTTGATCTTTATAATATACCAAATTTTACTGTAAATCAAACGTTCTCAATCATGAATAAATCATTCTTTAAAGTTAAAAACAACGTGGTTCTGCATGGTTGCTATGGCTGTCACACAATAACTTGTTCGCATTTAAACCTTTTTTGTCATTGGCGAGGTTCACCTTGCTTTATTCACCTTTAGATCAATCCTTGTAAACTTTGTTGGAAACAAAAAGAATTGTATTTTACTAAAGAACTTGCCTAGAAAGCCAGGTTTTTTAAAAAAATCTGATCAATTAACATGATGAGTCTTAACAGTGTTCATGTCACACAATAACTCGTTCATGTCTAAAACTTTGTTACATACATACATACATACATACATACTTTATTTATTCCAGAAGCAGATGATAACTATTATATACAAATAAAACTAAAAAGAAAATACTTCTAGAAAAGGAAGTTAAGAGGTTATCCCTGTGTAAAAACTCCCTTAAAAGAAAAGACAAAATATAAATCAAAATCATTACAATCAAATATTTAAGTACGATTTAAGTTTAGATTTAAAATGCTGAAAGCTGTCAGCTTCCACTATATCACCCGGTAACTCGTTCCATAATTTGACAATCCTAATAAAAAAAGAATTTTTGTAACAATTAAGTCTAGCTGGTTTAATATAGAGTTTGTATTGATGATTTGCTCTCGTAGACCGAATCGTGGCAATATCAAAGAAGTCTTCAAAATTTAAATGATAAAAACCAAAAACTATCTTATAACATTCGACTAAAGATAAGTAAGTTCTACGGTCAGAGAGAGTGGGCCATTTTAACAGTTTGCATCGGTCTTCATAGGACATTTCTCCTTTGCGTTGATTTAAAGCGAGTCTTGAGGCTCTTCGCTGTACATTTTCAAGGGCATGGATGTCCTTAACAAGGTAAGGACACCAAACAGGTACCGCATATTCCAAGATTGGCCGTACCAGAGACATGTACAGCATAGAAAAAACATTTGTTTTAGCGGTGCCTACTGAGCGTTTAATGGAACCTAAAACTTTGTTCGCTTTATTGACAGTGATACTTATGTGATGGCCCCATGAAAGATCTCTAGTTAGTGTGACACCGAGATCTTTAAAATTAGTCACGTCTTTCAGGGGCTTTTCTAAGAAATAATTAGTTACCGACTTATCGCGTAAATGCGTGATTCGCATAGATTCGCATTTGTCTGCGTTGAAACGTAGCTGCCACTTACGAGCCCATGCGCTAAGATTATTAAGATCATCCTGAAGAAGCTGACTATCTTTTATAGGGTCAATTATCTCTGTAGATCTTCGTGTCGTCTGCATATAATTTTACTGTAGATGATAAGAATTCAGATATGTCATTAATATACAATAAAAACAATAGGGGCCCGAGAATGGTTCCCTGTGGAGTTCGGAGGTAACGCACGACCAATCAGAATAAGATCCCCTAACGACTACACGTTGTTTGCGCCCCACCAAAAATGTCTCAGCCAGTTGAGTAAACATTCGTCGATGCCGCTACATTTCAATTTTAAAAGCAGTCGCTCATGAGGAACGCTGTCGAAGGCTTTGGCAAGATCCAGAAAAAACAACATCGGTAGGAGTGGATGAATTACGGGATTTCGCCCAGTCATTAAACGTTGATAACATTTGAGTTGTAGTAGATCTTCCTCGTAAAAAGCCAAATTGGTTGCTATTGATAAAGTCGATTTCGCGCCAGAACTTAATCATCCTATCAAAAACAATTTTTTCACAGATCTTACAAGCAATTGAAGTAAGGGAAATTGGGCGGTAATTTTCTCTCGAAGATTTGGAACCCTTCTTATGTAGAGGAGTAATGTCGGCATGTTTCCATTCCTCAGGCAAAAGGCCAAGAGACAACGATTTGTTTATCATATACGTTAACGAAGGTGCTAATTCCGAAGCACACGACTTAAAAATGCACGGCGCGATATGGTCAGGCCCAGGAGACTTGTTGGGCTTGAGTTTCAGAAGATGGCGTTTGACCTCATTGACAGAACAATCAATTTTCGCAAGTTTCTTGTCAACAGTGCAGTCTTGAGTGGGAAAATTTGCATAATCTTCGGTAGTAAACACCGAAGAGAAATATGAGTTCATACTCTGAGCAATACTGAAGTCGTCAGTCAGAGCACATCCATCGACGCTTATAGAGATGAGATTATTAGTGCCTCTTCTCTTGGACTTAACAAAATTCCAGAAAGGTTTCGGGTTTTCATTTTCCTGTAGATCAAGTGCAAGTTTCTTTATATACGACCATCTAGCTGTGTTACAAAGTCTCTTAACAGAATTGTTGAGTTGCCGATATTTTTCCCAAATAGTTGAATTGTTTTTTCTGCGAGCTCTATTATACAATAATTTCTTCTTTTTGCACAAAACAATAAGTTCCTGTGTAATCCAGGGGGCACTGGATCTCTTTTTATTCTTGCGTTTGGGAATGCACTCATCCACTGCTGTAAATAACAAGTCTTTCCAGCAAGCCCAATTATGATTAATATCGCTGTCGAAGAAGGCGCAATGCCATGGAATATAAGATAACAGCGATCTTAAGTGATCCCAGTCGGCTTTACCATAGCAATACAACAACTTCTGTGATTTACGCTGGACGTAAGGTATACCAGATAACGAGAAGGAGATAGAATTGTGATCTGAAAAGGGTTCTCCAACAACCAAATGGTTTACGAGGTCGGGCGAAGTAGTGAGAACTAAGTCTAGGATGTTCGAGTCTCTGGTAGGTTCATTTATCAACTGTGTCAAAAATTGTCTTGGACGATGTCCATCATGAGTGTGTAAATATCAGATTGACGCAAGAATCTGTTATTCAACCAATCAATCTCCGGAAGATTGAAATCGCCAACAAGAATCAACTCGTTCGTCGAAAACTCTTGCAAAACAGCTTGTAAGTCCTCTAAAGGCTTAGGATCGTTATTGGGAGGACGATAGAAAACTCCCAAAGTGACTTTGCGATTGTATGAGAAAAGAAGATCGACGAAGATGAACTCTGAATCGTTCTGTGTAGTATCACGGGGAACCGCTTTGTTGGTCATTAGCTATGTTTACCCTGCTTTATTTGCCATGAGATCCTTCTAAACTTTGTTGGAAGAAAAAAAATAATTTTTTTTTGCTAAAGATCTTTTACTTTTTTCTATGGTTAACTTCTAATAAGTTGTGCTGGATTAAAGACCAACTCACCAACGTCTCTACTTGATTTTATACGTCGACGAGTTGGCATTGGTGAGTTGAACCATCAGCGACTTGACCACAATTCGTTATAGCAACTCACTACAAACAAGAATCATAAGGGGCTGCTTCTACAGAGATCTTTTACACCAGAGGCAATCTTATCATGATTCACTAGTGCTACAACTCCTTTCAATCAGCTACTTTTTTCTTCACATAATAACATACATTTCACATAATTGTCATCATTGTTGGCTACTTTGGCACCTACCTTTAGTATTTGTTGTGCAAGACCTCCTGGGTCAGTACTATTATTATTCCAGCAAGTCTATTGTTATTGCGATCTTTGAGGTATTGATATTTTAAAGCAATTCCTTTAACCTTAAATAAAAAATAAAAAAAGAAAATAGTTTAGAGTTTCCTGTTCAAGAAATATATGCACAGACTTTTCTCTTCCTTTCCCTATTCTTAGATGATGCATTTCATTCTTAAGTTTCTCAATAAACCAGTTATGTCAGACCATGTTACTATAAACAGAGTGAAATAATCATTACGTATGCTTCTACCAACCATAATTTATCAAACCAGTTCACAAGCTTTGGATTTACCATGCAGAGGCTATTAGCTTGTAGGGAAGCCACACTTTTCTGAAATTAATCCTTTGATGTTGATTTGGCAACAAAGCAAAGTCAAAACCTTCATTTTTAGTCTTCCTCAGCCACCTCTCCCATCCATTTGTAGTACACTGGATTTGAGAAAGCATACAAGGATGCCATTTATTTAGACTTGTGTAAGTTTTTAGTGTAGTTATAAGAACGGCAAAAGTAATGCATCTAGAATGCAAATCTACAAAACCATACAGGTGCATGGATTAACCAACCTCAAAATGACTGCTGTTGTTTTCACAAGAAATTGCATTTTCAATTTTTACTATTTATTCCCTACCTGTGAATGTTTGCTGTCAAAAAATATCAGGGTTTCCAAGTATCATCCTAATCATGGAAGATTGTTAACAGTTCTTATACATATTGCAGCTGTTGTTTCACTTTGAATGATGAAAGAGCCCAACCCTATACAGTTTATGTTGGTTTTAGCAACTGGAAAGAATAGCAGCAAGTCACTTCTCATGGTCTTGTAAATGGCATCCAGAAGTTTAATCTCATTTCCAAATTGATTTAACAGCTAATTCTGCCAGTTTGTTTGGTGTGTAAACAACACAGTTTCAGCTTTTGTGTTCCTTTTGTGTTCTTTCTGTGTTCCTTCTGTGTTCCTTTTGTGTTCTTTGAACAATGTTGACAATGTTGACAATGATAGAGCACATGGTCTGAAATAAAACTTGAGGATGCTCCTAACACTAAAGCTGTATTATCTTTTTTAGGTTTTCCTGGTCAACTTTGGACCACATCTCCATGGAAGCCTGGGATATGTGGGTTTGTTGGCTAGAAGTACCTATTTGTTGGTAGTGGTGGTGGAGTTTGGCCCGCAAATATATCCCTTTTGACAAACTGCTTAATGCAGTGTCTATTCATCTCTTGCATTCTGTTGATAAGCCTTTTGTTGATGGGCTGGAGAATACCACCAAGATAAATGTTTGATACAAGAGAGAATTAACACAAATCCATGTTACAATGAGTTGAAACATATTTGAAGAGTCTAATACAAGTGTAGAATAACACTCCTGTCTCTACCACACTCCAAATCATTGACAAGACCCCCCCCCCTCATTAAATGTTGCCTGTCTGTAGCTAAAGGTTCATGGAAACACTATACAACATTGTTTTGAGAAGTGGTGGGTGAACAGATTAACTAACAAAGGCAAAAGAAAGATAAAGTTGAAGGAATAAGGGGTTAAAAGGTTGATGTTTCAACAATTTTGTCACCAATAGTAGGTTTGCTGAAAACAAAGCATTAGAGGTTGAAACCCAGTTCAGATCCCCACAACTAGATTTTGCTTCACATTTGTGTTATTTACATTTAACTTATAGGAGACTACAGGCAATAGTGGCAAGAAACTGCCAGCAGGGACTATAACTAACCAGCCATTATTATAAAAGCCAAGTGTGTTACAAATAAAAAATTAACAAACATATTCATTAAGACAAAAAAACCTCTTCAATTACATGATCTTTGTGTTCCTCTTGATTTGCCAAGTGATTGTAAATTTGACATTCAAAGCCTGGTTTCTGTCCACTGTTGATATGGATCTTTAATTTTGATGAAATGTCCCTCCTGAGTTGCTCAGTGTCATTCTTGGTCTACACAGCAAAAAAAGTTAAATAGATCAATTACTCTACAACCTAATTGACATGTGCTGTTAACCAGATGGAAAATGTTAGAAAAATTGTCCTGACTGTTATATCAAAGTATCTGCGTTATGAAGTTGAGCAGATTTTTTCTCTTTGCATAATTTGAATGGCATTTTGTGCTTATTAGCGAGTGTTTTGTTATGTCTATCAAGTGTTAAGTTATTTGAAGAACAGTATATAAGTGTCCCGTAGTTGAGAGTTTGTCCTTTGAGCCTATGAACACCTCTGCACAGGCAGTTAATTCTCACATGGACAAAACCTCCAGCATCTTGCTTCATGGATGTAAGAGATGGTGTATCCATATTGCATCCATCCATTCACAGCAATCAGATCTACTCATGAGATTTACTGTATTTACCCATTAATAAGCCACATCTCTGTATAGACTGCATCCCAAGATTTTAATTAATTCTGGTGGAAATAATAATCAGTGAATTACAATCAGAAATAGCATAGCTGTCGCAATGAAACCTATTAACAAAGAAAAATTGTAATAGTTTAATAACACGGGCTTGGAGTAAAATGAACAAGAGGCCACAGTTTGCCATACAAAGTAACAAGTAACTGGGTAACAAGAAATGGGTAATGGCACTAAGTGATTCCGTGAATGTTTGGAAACTTTTGAAGCAATCTCACAAAGTGAGACTAAAAACACCTCCAGATTTACCTTACTTCTTTCAATTGTTTCTGACTTTTAACATGTAAAATTTTTTTTTTTTTAGAGATTTTTCTAAGTATCACTGTACAAAAAACACTATAAGTTTATATGCAAGTCCAACACTATTTTAAGTAATTTCAATTGTTTGCAACCTGATGTGAAAAAATGAGCTGTGGGAACAGTTGGTCATTGGCTGATTGATTTGATTCAATAATCTTATGTCAACATTAGCATCTGAATTGATGGGAATAAGCTTTTAAAGCCCTCAAAAGACCAAAATAATCATGAGCTTTTCAAAATTCATGTAATTGACTGCTGCATATCTTTATTTCACTCAGTTAAAAAAAAAAAAGAAACTTGCAGTCACAATTAATATTTTAAAAGGTATATTGTTTGGAGGCAAGAGACTTGGTGCCAAAACGCTTGTACCTGCATTTAAGCCCCACCCCTAACTTTTATGCTATTTCTCTGCAGCCTATCTGAGAATAAATACCCAATATGGGTATTTTTATAGGCAAACAGGGACAAAAATGCCATACAATCGTAATGCAACAAACCAAATATTTAACAATTATTGGCAAAAAGTGAAGGGAATATTCTTCTTATACATGGGTATTATATGACAACATTGTCACAGTCTAATACTGTTATTGGTCCACTGATTATCAGACTATCTGCATTATGCTAACATTTTCCACTTCACAAATATCACCTCATGCTAGTTGATTATAGCAGAATAACTAAATTTGTGGCCCCAATCTGAATTAAGAGACAACTCTTCTGCATATGGTTACTGCTTTTTGTTACATTTTGTGTGTTACTAACAAGTCAGGTGCACAGATGGAAAGATAAGTGCACATAAATCATTTCTCACACTGACATCAGTTTGCAATACTCTAGTCTAACCCAAACAACTTTTATTGGGATACAATTAATCAAATCCTTATTCAAACAAGTTTATTAAAAAACTTTTAACATGCAGTTACATCATAAAATATTGCGAGACACTGTATTATCTCTTAGATCAAACCAAAATTGAAAACAAATCTCGCCTTAATTTTTTTTCAAAAGGTATGCAGCAAGCAAGCTGAGAATTTCTGCCTGAGATCAGTGAAATCCTTCAATTTCGCAAATGGTACCAAGTGTTAACCACTGGTCTTTCTCTCTCTGATAAATCACATGTCAAAAAAAATTTATTGGTTAGCACAGCTTGAATGCATTTGGCTTCAGTTAGTGCAAGGCTTTGTCTTACAAAAATCCTGCCAGACTACTTAATGCACATCAGTGTAGACAGTTTTCTTTCAGTAATTTCTTGTAAGCTTTTCATTAATTTCTTATTAGCTTTGCTTTGAGAAATTGATGAAGAAAAAAAGAGAAACAGTTTAGGCTTCCAAAATGTTTGCAGCACTGTTTTTGGCCTGTTTGATTTGTTTCCAATATTCCCTTATTAGTCAAACTGTTACTTACCATTCGTGTGTCACGCCATTATTAGTCAGTCACAAGTCACGCAAGCTCTTTTGTGTGAGTGGATGTAATTGTTCTGGAATTCCACAATGAACAGGATGAGAGTGTTGTCAATCTCAGCCTAAACTGTATTGTCAGAATAAAATTATGATTGATTGTCAAAACCTTTTCAAGATTTGTCGAGCTTATCTACAGCAAGGTTTTTTGTTCCCTTAATCTCCATTCCTACCCCTTCCCACTTCTTCCCCAAGCAGATTCTTAAACCCCCAGCTAGTTTTTTCATTTCCCTATCTTCTTGAACAATTACTGACATCCCTGCAAGGGGTAATGCTCCAATCACAAATTGGACTCAAACTAGCAAATGACAAATGCCAGCTATAACGAGTTAACAACTGTGTAAAAATGAGAAGTAAAAGTATTAAATTAAAATATATCCATTAAATTGTTATTATCCAAAATTCAAATGCAAGCTACATACATGTCACTGAGGTTGGCTCTGTAACAGCCTTAGGCCCGATTGTATACAACACGGTCTTTCCTATCACATCGACAGTCTGCCGGGTCTGCTATTCAGGTCTGTCAGCTGTTTCGCTCGATCGTTGAATTTATCGGTAACAGAACTTGAAAAGATCCAATGCACTTGTTATATACTAAATGAAACTATGGTGTTGATTTACAAACACATTCAAAGTTGGAAGGAGGCGAAATGATAGCTGAATACCGTGGAATCATGGTCGGCTCCGACATTCCGCCATCTTACATCGAGTCGGTCAGTCAAACTAGGAGCATGCGGACTGGGTTCTTGTTTGGGCGTCAAATCGCTACCGCTCCCAATACACCGAATTGGACGGCACGAATTACTGTTACCACTACTTAATCAACAAGAAGTAGAGCGTGTTGTTGTAATAACCGACAATCACAAGTTGTTTTGGCCTCGTGCTGTTTAGACTGATACGTTTCCTGCGAGTTTTTATAAATCTAAGGGCCTGTTTACATGGAGGTGGGGGACCCCAAGTAGGTGAAGTAACCCGCCTAGGTGGGGTAACCCGCCTGTCCATACAATTTCTTAGTTTATTTTGATCACGTTTACATGATAGATGGGGTGACCCACCTTGGCGGGTTGCCCGGTCTGCCAGGTAGGTTAACCCGGTCAGCCGGGATGACAATTTGCCACGTAAACGCGTCAAGATGGGGAAGCTCGCCTAGCCGGGGTCGCGTTCATAGCAAAAAGCTCAAAAGCGGAACATGTATGTTTTAAAACTTTGTACATTTCCTAGCCGTCTCATGGCAGAAATCGCCAGAAACCGCAACGGACACACAAGGAGTGTAAAATGTTCACATTTCGGAATATTTACTGTCGTAAATCGACCATATTTGGTTTCCCAAATTATTGCGTATAACTCATTAAGTCAACGGTTCCTCGCGAAACCAAACACCGCGTAACACAACGCGTGACGCTTTCATGAATAAATACGTATGTGTCCGAGAATTAATCTTTCGTCTTTTTCGAGATGTGAGCTTGGGACGCCTCTGCTCAAACTCCTTAATTGCAAGCACAACAACAACCTCAAGAAACTTCACCTCAGCAACCCGGGGTTGTAAGATTGCATGTAAACGCGTTTTATTTTTCGACCACGGCGAAGCGGGTTACTTCACCTTCCTGGGGTCCCCCACCTCCATGTAAACAGGCCCCAAGGGGTGAAAATTTGCCATGTAAACGTGCCAAGGTGGGGTAGCCCGCTTAGCCGGGGTGGCGTTCATGGCAAAAAGCTCAAAAGCGAAACATGTATGTTTTAAAACTTTGTACATTTCCTAGCCGTCTCATGGCAGAAATCGCCAGAAACCGCAACGGACACACTAGGAGTGTAAGATGTTCACATTTCGGAATATTTACCGCTGTAAATTGACCATATTTGGTTTCCCAAACTATTCTGTATAACGTATTAAGTCAACGGTTCCTCGCGAAACCAAACACCGCGTAACACAACGCGTGACACTTTCATGAATAAATACATATGTGTATTTACCTCCATGTAGACAGGCCCTAAGGGCCTTACCTCTTATCTTGTCAATTTCCTGAAGGTTATGTAAACGCAAACGCAAGGGCTTGGTAGGGAAGAATGTCATATTCATTGTTATCCTTTAAAAAATAACACATTCAAAAGGTCATGTCATTTTGAGTTCCTTTTTACCCAGTTTTGCAATGTCTTTCTCATAACTTGCTCGTTACTTCCCTCTTTACAACTAGTCATAGCGTTGATCTCAGTCCGCAAATTGCGTTGTGGATTCTAAAGAAATTCAGTAAATGGAATCTGCAATTGTTCCCTCGAATTCAGCGAAATTGCCTCATTCAACGTCAGTTTAACGGCGGAAGAAAGAAAAGATTTTCAGTTACATTAAAGGGAACAAACATCTTAATTATCACAACTTTTTAAATTTTTTGACACATTTGGATTTACTCATAGTCAATTTCCTTGCCATTTAAAAGTGAACAGAGGAGAGAAACCTGTGTATATTATGAAGTCTAAAGATTGACGATTATTCCCATTTAACGGGGCTGTCCTGGTGTACCGGTACACGGGGGAATTCCTATTGTTTTCATATCCATACATGGAGTTGTGACGCAGTTCGTTAATGTTTCGTTTCTTTGTGTACCGGTACACGAGAACACAACCCATTTAACTACGAAAACAGACCTTTCCGTGGGCTGTGATTGAAAAAAATCCTGTGGAGCGTTCATGCGGTGACTGAATGTTGAAAAAATCGGAAATAGTTAATTTTTGTCTTACCTCGTGGGGGGTGTAATTTCAAGATTTTGTGAGTTATTCTAAAACCGTTTTAGTCGATCGTTTTTTGTTGAAACAAGTATCACACCATGGTAAACTCACCTGGTTAGAATTGGCAGCAACTGTTAATAATTTTCATTTTTCTGTTCCTTTCTCGAAAGTTTTCCTCAGCAGCAGTGTGTGCGTACAATTAAGTACTTTTCGCTCCTTTGCTCTCTGGTTTTCCTTTGATAAATTCATGGGAAACGATGTGAAATGAAGAAACACACTGTTCTCTCTCCTTATTATGTGCAATGGGAACCTGTTCAGAAAAGTACCCGAGGTTGGATAAGATCCGCACACAAACGAATTCGCGGACATGAATTCACTTGAT